TGATGGAACCACAAGCAGTTCTGTCTTGGCAAGGTTGAGTTGAAGGTGATGGTCCTTCATCCAGCAAGAAATGTCTATTTGTTATATTTATTTGTTAAGAAATTAGTTTGTTATGTTTAGCTGGCTGCCCTAAACTAGATCCGCTATAGACTACAGCTTAATACTGTGCCAATTCACCCACCCCGCCATAGCAAACCCATCTGTTAAACCAGACAAGCTTCTAGATCTTTCTATTGCTGTTGATTGATGGAGAAGTCAGCACACACACACACACTCACTCACAAACAGGTCCGATGGCAGACAGCAGAGCTGTGGGCTCATATAACAGGGATCAAGTATCATGTCTGTTGTATGAAGGTACGGCTGTAAAGATGTCGGCTTGTTGTGTCCCGGCCTTAGTCAACACTCCTACGTGCTCCTACGTGTTGCTTTGCTGGAAGTTTCTCGACATGTTTGTGAGGAGGAGAGCAAGTTGTGTGACTATGTGCTTATTTCTTATGCAACTTTGGAATCAAGTGTGTTTACTATACATTGTGGATTATTAATAAGGGGCCTGACTAAGTTAAAAACTGTGTTGTGTTGGTGCGGTCAATATCAAAATCATTGTGGGTAGGAAAACGTTTGTGACCCACAGCCACACGCTCTCTTTACTGATTTATGGTGAAAGAGGCCAGGGTACACACACATAGGCCGTCTTCATCTGACTAGCATGCACACACACACGGCCATTATCTGATGCTCTGATATGGATAGCAGACACACAGCTCACTCAACTGCCTCATGCTACTCTAAATATATACTGGATCTGTTCTAAAAGTAGTGAGCTAACTACCAGTACTGTAGGGCATCACTGAAATAAAGGCTTTTCATTATTTAATGCTTCACATATATTCTTCATGTTTAAAGGGATATTTAATGCTTCACATATATTCTTCATGTTTAAAGGGATAGTTCACACAACAGTGAAAATTCTGTCATCATTTACTCACCTATATGTCATTCTCACCCTTATTTTAAACTGACTTTCTTCTGTTAATGAAAGACAATATATTGAAGAATGTCTTGAAGAATGTTTTGTCCATGCAATCAAAGTCAATGGTCATCAAAATTGTTTCAACATTCTACAAAATATCTTCTTTTGTCTGAGTAAATGATGACAGAATTTTCATTTTTGGGTGAACTATCCTTTAAGACAACCTCAGAATACTTTGATGAGTTAAGTATATATATATATATATATATATATATATATATACAAAATGGATAAATAACAGACTATAGACATACTCTAATTTTTATTTAAAAAACATGAAAAAGTTTCCCTAAAAACATCTGTAGCTCTATTTAAAAGCTGACTATTTCCATAGTCAATAATGTATTAAAAAAGAATTAATTATCCACATTTTCACTTCATGAGGTACGCTAATGTCAGATATTTTAAATACTGTCTTTATGTTGTATTAATGTATTAATTCAAGAGATTCAATGTGAAAATCTATCCATTACTTTTAATGTTAGGTGTGATTAATCGTGCTTAAATACAGAAATTTATTTGGACAAAATAGTATAGGATTTTAATATCTCCCATTTATTGCTTATTGGACATAAAATGAAAATAATTATTGGTATCGACCATGCCTAACTAAAAAATTGCGTCTCTTGTGCTTTAAGTATAAAGTGCTATTTGTGTGCTGCATGTGAGAGACTAGGGCTGCACGATAAATCGAAATGGAATCGAGATTGCTCTGCGATTTTTTTGCGTAACTTGTCAGTGAACTACAGCTCTGTGTAGTAAATTCTGCTCCATCTGAAAGCACGTGATGATGATTTCCTGCTGATTACAGAACCGGCATTACTAACAAATTGCGCATGACAATCGCATTCGATTAATCGTGCAGCCCTATGAGAGACCATCAAAAAACGTTGCCGCTAAATCAGTCACATGAGGTTCTCTGTCAGTTTGGATGCTGCCTTTGAAGTATGCTGACAATGCAGTTAATTTACTCTGGTTTTGGAATAGAGCTACTGTCTATACTAGGGATGTGCGCGACGACTAATTTGACTGTCGTTTAAACGAAAGTTTTGTATCCGACTAGTCGACTAGTCTAAAAGCAAGAAACCCCCAAAAGATGGTAAGAAAAAAAACCCTCTGTGCGTGCGAGTAGCATATATAATAGCCTATATTTGAAATACTTAATCTATGAATCACACTGTCAAATCCCTCAATGAATTCCGCTTGCCGCACACTTGCCTCGCGTTATCATCATTTCATTTTAGGCAGTCGTTAAAAAGAAATAAAAGAATAGCATACACTCAACGTCGGTCAAAGCATAGCTTATTTATTCAAATCCGCTGGGGAAATGCAGAACAATGCTAAATCAATCAATGGCCTGACAGAATTCTTCATCTTCATATAACGTTAGCCAACATATTAAAACACAAGTCAAAAACAATAGGAAGGTTTAATCAAGAAATAGCATTAAAACGGCTTTTAAAAACGTACTT